GAGTTAGGGAACGCAACTATTATTTATCGCCTGTGAAAAGTTCGTACATAAGTGGTACATATGTAAAGGATAGAATTGTGTTCTTCGAATAATTAAATGCGTCCATTATGTCTTTGCACTCTGATACTGGAATAGATAGCACGATCGGAGAGTAACAACAAGACCGCAGAAGCGTAAGTTTAAGCACAATTTCCAATAATCCCTCCATTCATATCTTCCACTCTTATTGCAGCACAATCAAAATCCCATTCGAGTCAGTACAGCGTGCAGTGATAGTTTATCGAGTATTAAGCGTTGATAAGGAACCGAGTCGTAATTTTGTCCAAAAGGAATTGCGTTTAGTGGGTGATGAAATTGAAGTACACTTTAAAGCTACTCATGTAAAACACTTACGAACAGCAATCACATCCTTTTTCGGATCCCTCTTACTCTGTACGGACACAATCAAAGAATTTGCACCAAGTTCTGAAACTGCTACCACTAATGCCAGAGCACACACCTGCACCAACACCGCATAGAGCGGTGTACGGTTTCAGTTTTTATTTACTTTTCTTTACTCTATTCATTCTATATTTAATGTGGGCGCTTTTGCCAACTGAAAGTTGGGGTCTAAACTACCTGCCAGATAAATACTTCGCTGCATATTTACCAATACTGGTGCTTATGGGTATGTTCGTTTTTGAATTCTTCGTATATCCGGGAATTTGTTTGGCTATGACACCCAACGTAGATGATGTGGAGTCTGTGATGGATACTGCTTTATTATTGCGACATGCCGAGGGTGATAAATCTGTAAATTCCAAGAATAATAGTGTGTGGGCGCGTGTTAGATACATTAAACAAGCGAAACCGCGAAAAGAACGCGAAGTGCTTTCCAACTGTGACTTTTGCAATAGTACACATCGCCTACCAGCAGCACATGAACAGATATCTACATTGAGGTTTTTGGATTTACAGGATGTTAATAGTATTTTTGATTAGAGGCATCAAGAAATAAAGCTACAATTTATGTATGTACAGTATTTTGTTTCATTTATATGTATACCGGTTTAGAATTCATTAATTTCAATAAAATTTTCGTAGTGGCGACAAGTTTTACTTTCTTCTCGTGCGCACTGTTGTCCAACCAGGTTCAGGCTCTGCAAATTCTTGCTTTCTACGTGTTTGAGAGCGTGTTACGCGACTACAACTGGCAATATCGCTGTCTTCATCGTCAACATCCATATCATCGTCAGAGTTTCCGCTACTGTCATCATCCTCTGAGGATGAGTTTTCTCCTGCAATTGGCGTATACACAATTTTCACATCGGGTCGTAGCCATTCCTTGCCTTGCGGTAGTTTGCTTAATTCACTTTCGATTTGTGCATATTCTCCACTGAAGCAGAGCGATTTATATCGGAGCAAATTCCTACAGATTTCTGGGAAGAAATTGATATAAGTTTATAGTTTACAAATGTTATGTTCATAGTACTTCATACGTTTACCTGGTATGGAACCATCCTCACATATCGTGTCGAATTCTTGATCCAGCAGTTCCTCCACAACATCTTGTAGCTCACCTTGTGTTATGTTCTCATTACCAATGCAATACTTGTAAGTGTACTCCATGATTTCAATAGCTTGCTGGTATAAGAAAAATAAGGTAAGTATTATGCAAAGTGGTTGGTTGGGGTTGACTTCGCATTACCTGTTGCCCATTGCGACCGCCCATGCCATGTTCAACTGCTAATCGCAGATTTTGCCAGTTATTGAAGATTTTCTCTAAAACTAAGCGAAAGTTTTTCTGAAAATCTGTTTGAGCCATCCTGTCGGAGTTTATTGTTTTGATCAAAAAGACTTTGCGGCGAATGTCAAAGCAAAAGCCGTAATAAACACGTGAGAGCAGTG